TCAGTCATACCTGTGGGTTTAGCTATAAAACAGCAAACCAGTTCAGAATCGTTAAGTGCAGTGACATGCCAGTCTTGTCGAGGAGGAACTCCAGCCAAGCCTTTGCCAGAGAATCACTTGGGGAAGGAGAAAGAGAGTTTCTCCCCAGAGAACTGTGTGAGTTCAGGAAAGCAGTGGTCAGTGACAGAGAAAAGGTCTGCAGATAGATGTGGAAACAAAGTCACCCATGAACAATGGCAACTTTTATTTATTTATTTATTTGTTTTTGAGGCAATTGGGATTAAGTGATTTTGCCCAGAGTCACACAGCTAGTAAGTGTTATGTGTTTGAGGCTGGATTTGAATTCAGGTCCTCTTGCCTCCAGGGCCAGTGCTATCTATAATGGCAACTTTTAAGATTGTGATTCCTTGTGATGGAGGAGAATGCTGGCTAGAAACTCTACAAAACCACTAAATTTCAGAGCCTATCAGAGCAATGACTGAGGGGAACCTTAGGAGAACTCTAGAAAGGGAGAAAAAGACTTCCAGTAACCAGGAGCTTTGAGGCAACCCTTTGCCACACATGTTCTTTAAACCTGCGCCTCATTACCATTTTACAAGTTTGAACTTACTCTCCCCAGGGACCTTGGGTGTGAAAGGGGGAGAATCTGCCCCAGTTTGGGAGGAATTACTTACATCCACTATTCTTGTAATACTACCTGCTTTGTAAATGCCCTTTGCTAAAAGCTAAACGAGGCTACTGGATGATTATCAGTGGGAAGTACACCAGTAGGGGCTCATGAATGGTGACTGGGCAATTTAGGGTTATCTCTGGAATCTCAAGGAGAAAGAATCATTACCCTCTGGGGTCCCATTCTACCAGTGTGAGTGCCAGTTCGGGGAATGACCCCAGAGGGGGTTTTACTCATGTTTTCTATCTTTGCAAAATTTTTATAAGAATACTCTACACATGCAGTGAGAGCATCTTTGACGAGGTTACAAGAAAAGGACAAGCAGGCTTTTACAAACTATATCCTGTAGTTTACAGTCACACAAAGGCCCCATCTTTTCAACATCATTATTCTCCCAGTGACGTTGTAAGCCTACAGGCCACTGGAATACCGTAGTCTCCAAAGAATCAAAGCTGAGGCTTGCCCCAAAGAGCCATAGAGAGGTGCATGCTGGGAATGCACTGACTGCAGCACATCACAAATGAAGGATAGTGCAGGAGAAGCAAAGCAAAAGATGTCATCAGAAAAAGACAGGTCAGTCCACGTGTAGTGAGAGCGAGGGATGACCAGTTGCTAACTCTCATGCTTCAACATTATTCAGAAGAAAATAAAAGGAAGGCCATATGAATATTTGTGTAGATCCCCTTGATCCTATTTACAGGAGGCTATTGACAAGAGTCATAGAGGAGGCAGAGGTACGAATAGAAGAGAGGGAATAAGCATTTATTAAGTGCTTACTATGTGCCAGGCAGCGTGCTAAGTACTTTACAAATACTGTCTCATTTGATCTTCACAACAGGTGTAGGTAGGTGCTGTAATCACCCACATCTGACAGGTGAGGAAACTGAAGCAAACAGTGATTAAGTGACTTGTCACACAGCTAGTAAGAGTCTGGATCTGGATTTGAATTCAGGTCTTCTGGACTCTGGGCCCAGTGCTCTATGTACAGAGCCACCTAACTGCCTTACCAGTTAAGATTTACATTGTTCGAAAGTATTCCCACATGAATGAGAGAACAGCTCTACGTTATCAGAGCATGAATTTTGTATCCTGGACGGCATGGATTATTTTTCTTTTGGGCATCTTAGTACCTAATATAGTGCCTGGCATTTGGTCAGAGCTTCATAAATGTTTGTTGAATTGAGATATTTTGGAGGCAGAGATCTTCCTGTTCCCCTAGGAATCACACTAACTACTCTCTGCATATTATCATTCAAGGACGGAAAAAGTATTGAGTTGCCCTTCCCCTACTTCTCACTCTTTCATGTCCTGTGGTGAAGGCAACAGGTGGGTTTTAGGACTATTGAAAGAAATGACTTCCAAGAAGTAAGCCCTAATCCAGGGTCTGCAGCTCCCTTTAAATCCAAGCCTTAGTCCCTTCCTTTGGGGAAGGTATGTCTGTAATGCTTCCCTGCCCCAGGGAAGGACTCTTAGAATTTATTGAGGTGGTTTGCCAGGGATGTATTATTCATCAGCTCACTCTCTCTCTGTCTCTCTCTGTCTCTCTCTGTCTCTCTCTCTCTCCTCTTCTCCCTCTCTGTCTCCCTCTCTCTCTCTTTCTCCCTCCCTCCCTTCCTTCCTCCCTCTCCCCCACACTCAGCTGGTGCCTATGCTAAAGAAGGGATGGAGTAGGGGGAATACTTAGTATCACAAAAATCTGTGCTGTGTTTGTTGTTTTTTTTTTTTATTTAAAGGAAGGAAGAGCAAAAAGTTGACAAGGCCAACTAGTCTTTGGAGGATTAATTCCACAAACTCCCAGGCTTCTCGAGGACATCAAAAGGTCATCAGGTCATAGGAACATAACATTCAGAGCTGGGAGAGACCTGAGAAGTCCAATTACCTTTGAGTCTAACCCTGTCATTTAAGATGTAGAGAGATTGAAGCTGGGAGAGAGAGGAAATAATTTGCTCAAGGTCACACAGGGAATAAGAAGCAGTGCTGGGATTCAAACCCAGGTTGCCTAAATCCCTAATGCTCTACTCTTTCCACAGCCTCTGTCCCTTCTACAGCTTGTCCTCTCTCTCTCCCCCTCTCCCTCTTCACCCCAAACCATCAGTCCAGAGCGGATTACTAAGGCCAGTGGACATTCCTGACCCTCCCTGTTCTATGAGCACCTGCTCCCTGGTTGTGGGAATCAGCAGGAATTGGCCTCTTTCAGTCTCCTGGGAGCCTTTAGTAAAACTACCAACTACGTACCTAAAAGGCAAGGCCAAAGCAGCAAACAGCACATTCTGCTGAATGATCCCCAGTCACTTGTTTTAAGCCAGCTATCTCTCTTCCCTGAGCCTCTTTTTTTCCTAACTATATAATAAGGATAACCTTGCAGTTCCTCATCTTTGCAGGCGGATTGTAGGGTGTTAATGTCAGAGCTTAGCTTGGCCAGCATTAGTTGTGCTGAGGGCCAGCTTGGCCGGGGCTCTAGTTATGAAGATGATCTTGATGGCGATAAGAGTAATATTTGCATTCATTTAATGCTTTGGGGTTTACAGAATAATTTCCTCACAACAGCCCTGTGAGGTAGGTAGTACAAATATCATTATCTTCATTTCAAAGATGAAGAAATTGAAGCCCACACAGCTAGCAAGGATTTGCTAATAATCACACAGCTAATAAGTATTAATGCTGGGATCTCTTTCTTGGCCCTGGTTCCATCTCTGTAGATGACAGGGACCATGGGCTTAGGCTGTGAGCCCTTAGTCCATCTAAGTGAAGGCAAAGCCAATTGAAACTTTCCTTGGATCCCTAGGAGTGGGGCAAAGGTAGAGATAGGGCAGTGCTGGCTAAAGGATGTACAGGGCAGAGGGGCAAGACCTGAACATTCAGGACACCAGACTTAGAAGACAGATAGACAAAGCATTTATTAAGTGCTGACTCTGTGGCAGGCATTTTAGTAAGCACAACAACAACGAAAACCAAAATGAGACAGTTCTTGCCCATAAGTAGTTTACATTCTAACGGGGAACACAATACATGAAAGGAAGCTGAAAAGTTGGCGGGGGCTTGGAGGGTGGAGGGGAAAGGTCTCTGGTGGCAAGGTGGAAAAGTCCAGGAGAGTGAGGAATGGACCCAAGAGAGGAGTCAGTGTAATTGGCTTGGGAACTTTCTCAAATAGAGGATTCAGGAAGGAACTCACCAACTGGAGGAGGGGGCTACAAGAGTGGGGGGCACCTTCCAGGGTGAGAAGGGAAAAGAACAGACATGGATGGGAAGCAAATATTATTTTACAATTCATCCGTCAAGCTATTTGGATTTTGAGACAAGGTAATAGGGACTTGGAACTTGGCTTTACAAAAAGCCAGATTGTTCAGGAAAGGGAGGCTAGCTGCCCCTGGACCTTGATAGCATTTCCTGGACCAACAGAGGTTTGTGGATGGGGAAAGAAGGTGGGGAGTCCTACACATAACAGGTAGGGTATGGAGAGCCTTGACTATGACCTCTAGAGCTGGAACAGTCACCAAAAACCCACAGAGACTCAGAGTTTGAAGGGATCTCTGAGTTCTTGTCCAATGTATGCTTGAACAAGGATTCCCCTGCCTCCCTTCCTTCCTCTCCTCCCTCCCTCCCTTCCTTCCTTCTTCCCTCTCTTCTTGCACTTGGCATTAAGTGACTTGCCCAGTGTCACACAGCTAGTAAGTGTCTGATGCCAGATTTGAACTCAAGTTCTCCTGACAACAGGGCCAGTGCTCTCTATGCAGCACCAGCTGCCCTAGGGATCCTTTTTTACAACATTATCATTAAGCTATCACTGGGCCTCTGCTGGAAGATTTCTAATAAAGGGGAATGTGTTACCTTTAAAAAAAAGTGATTGATGCTCTTTTTTTTTATCAGGCATACCTCCGCCATCCTTCCTGAAGCATCATAGTTAAATAAAAAGACTGACCCAGCGAAATGATCTGACAGCATATGAAACACTCCACCCCCATAGTCCTCCACTTCTATTCTCAGAGGAGGGAATCCCTACATTTACAATCAGCTTATTCCCCTTGGGGAAGGCAACTTCTTCCCATGGCTCCTGGTTTTCCCCTCAGGATCAAGCAGAGACACGCTCATTTCTCTTTCCCTCTTTCACATGATAGCTTTGCAAATGCTTGAAAGACAACTCAGCAGCATCCTATTGCCTTATATCTTAATCTTACCATTTATTCATTTGTTCGTTCATTTGTTCCACCATCAGACATTTATGAGTTTTATTCACCTAACTCTGCACTCTGTATTGTGGGGGATAAAATTATCCAACCCTTGCTCTTAGGAGGGAGCTAAGATATGGCTATAATACGAGGTAGGGTGTGAGAACTGCATAGGAGAAATATAGATATCATGAGTGACCTGAGGGAGAGATCACTTCTGGCTTTGGGGTAAGGGGTGGGATGAGGAGGAGGATGATCAGGAATGCTACATGGAAGAAGTTGGCTTGAGTAATATTTGGAGAGGCAAAGAAGGGGTAGGCAAACGGAGGGAATGGCATGAGCAGGAATTACCATCATAAGCATTTTCCAGCTGAAGAAACTGAGAAGGCCCTGGAAGGGGAAGTCACTTGCCCAAGGTCGCAAAAGAGGTCCAAGCAAAGACTAGAATTCAGGGCACCTCATAGTTAGCTCAACTCTTTCTTTATGTTCTACCTCTCTCCGTTCTGTCCACAAAGAAAATTTTCTGTTCTTGATAAAAGATCAAAACTCTGTCTCCTCCTTGGCCTCCTCCCATTCCAGCAGATGGGCATATTCTCAGGATGCCAGGCCACTGACGAGAGTCTTAAGGCAATGAGGCTTCCATCTATCAAGAGTAAGGAAAGGAAACAGAATTTAGAGGCAGCCTGCTGCTCCTATTTCATAGTGCCCTTCTTGGAAAAAGCAGAAACAGCCCTCAGTTCTCTGGGTAAGCATTCTTGCTCCCTCCTTAGAGATGGACTTTGAAGCCTAGACAGTGACTTGCTCAAAGTCACCCAGAGCAAGCCAGTTGGCAGAGCTCTCCTCCATCCTGGTCCAGTGCTTTTCCTGCCACACTGAACGGCTTCAGCTCCTCCGCCCTCTGCTGTGTAAAAAATATCACAAATGACTGCAATGGGTTTCTTTAAAAAACGGGAGCCAATTTCTCTCGGTGATCAGATGTGTAATAGCCAGAATGGAGGAGAGCCTCAGCGCTAGCTGCGATTTCACTTTGGGGAGATAGACATTGAAATGCACTCCAGAGTCTGTATTTATTGAAGGCAAGAGGCAAAAACTCAAAAGGAAAAAGGGAAGAGAGAAAGGGGGAGGGGAGAATGGTAAGGCGAGAGAGAAGGGGGGTGACAGGGGGAAGGGAGGGAGGGGGAGGAGGGAGACAGGGGAGAGGAGGGGGGGGAGAGGGAAGGAGAGAGAGAACAGAGTGAATTTTTTTCCCCGAGTTATTTCCCCGTCTCCAGCACAATCTTTTATGGTTATTGAACTCAGCAGGTTGGAGGACCCAGGTGGGCAGGCCCGATAAAGACAAAGCTTTTTAATATATTTTGTCGTGGACAATTATGTTCTCTCTCAGTATGTATTGCCAAGGTCTATATTGTTGCTTTCTGTGTGGAAGAGAAGAAAAGATGGCAAGGAGGAGACAGTGGGATGGATGAGATGACCTCCTTTAGTCCCTCCTGTGCCTTTTGAGGAATAAAGAACAGTGAAATGTTCTAGAAAGATTTGTTTAAATCTCAGGCCTTTGGTAGGGCTCATCTTAGTCTCTGGTTCAAGTTTTCAACACCTCCAAGAAGCCTCCCCTGATTAACTCTGCCCCACACTGATACACACCTTACACTGGCAATGTGGTGTAAGTGGAATACCACTAGTGGAGTCAGGAGAGGTGTGGGTTCAAACCCTCTCATACTCACTACTTAAGTGGGCATATTGCTTAGTTTCTCTGAACTCTAGGTTCCTTATCTGTAAATTGGAGTAATAATAATACCTGTAGAACCTATATGACAGGGTTATTGTGAGTATCAAATGAGATAATATATGTAAATCATTTAAAAATTTTAAATCACATCCTGCCTGAGGCCAGTTGGATTTTTTTTGGAGGGGGAAGGTTCATTCCATGTGTGTGGGAGAATCTTAAATCATTATACAAATTACAGTTATTATTGTCGCTGCCATGTTTTTTATTTTCGGGGGTGTGGAGATTGGACCTATGATTTTGTTAGTGTAAGGAACTCCTGCCAATGCAAATCAGCTTCTGCTACAACTTACAGTTCAAGAGAATTGCTGGGGGCACTGAGCATTTGAATGACGTGCCCAGGATCCAGAAGCATAGGTATGTGTTTGCCGTAAGGCATTCTTGACTCTGAGACTGACTAGCCACCTTGCCACCCTCTTGCCTTCTTTTTGTCCTTGCTTTTGTTCTGTAAAATGGGAAGAGCGAGGTTGATTGGACTAGATAGACCCTAAGCTTCCTCTAAGTTTTGGCAGTGAGGCAGTGTGGTACAGTGGGTAATGTTGTATTGGGAGTCAGGAAGACCTAGATTTACACCCACCTTCTGTGCTTACTAGCCTTTGGACTGTGGGTGTGTCACTTTGCCTTTCTGGGTCTTGGTATCTCATATATAAAATGGGTGAGTTGAACTTGATAACCTTTCCAGCTCTCAATTTATGCTCCAGGGAGCCTGCGAGCCTGTAACATTCTGGGATTTGTGTGATGTGGTAGAAGGAACACTAGACTCTGAGACAGAGGACTTGGAATGGGGTCCTGGCTCTGATACTACCTGTTTGACCAAGACTGCTTGTTTGGTCTTATTTGACCAAGAACTAACTACCTTTCTGGGCTTTAGTCTCCCCATCTATAAAAGGGGGGATAATGGTATTTTTATTTCCTACCTAGAGAAGAAGGGAATTATATGAAGAAATTGCTTTGTGAACTGCAGGATTCTGTAACTATGAGTTATTATTACTCTTGTGGCAGCTGGTGGCGCAGTGGATAGAGTTCTGGGCCTGGAGTCAGAAAGACTCTTCTGAGTTCAAATCTGGCCTTAGATACTTTCTAGCTGTGTGACCCTGGGCAAGTTGCTTAACCCTGTTTGCCTCAGTTTTCTCATCTGTAAAACGAGCTGGAGAAGAAAATGGCAAACCACTACTGTATCTTTGCCAAGAAGAGTTGGACATGACTGAAAAATGACTGAACAACAATTATTATTCTGCTTTGGCATCTCCCCCAAAGAATAGGAGATGGGTTTATGTCGCCTTCCTGCTCAGAAACCTTCAATTCCCTAGTAACCTATAGAATCAAGTCTAAACTTTCTAGCCTAGAATTCAAAGCCTTACATAACCTGGCTGCACATTTCCTTGACATCCTATGTCTTATTTTTCCTCTACAGACACCTGAGGCTCCAGACAGGCTGGTTTCATAGATCTTTGCACAAACTCTGTTCCCATCCTGCCCCCATTTTGCTCATAATCTTCCTCTTCACCATAAAGACAACAGGAATATTACTATCATTTGGCTTTTGCCCTCCTCAATCCAGGAAACCTCTAAATGGTGCCTTTATTGACACCACTCTTTTTAATTTTATGACTTTTTTAGCTGTCATCATTAAAGGATGACTAGTTTATTCAATGGGGTATTTAATCCTCCCCCCCCAACAATTAGCTGGGTAATCAGAAAAATACACATAAATACAGTAATCATTCACTTTGCAGGCTGAGGCACCGAGGCACACAGAGATGGTAACGGCTTGCAAAGAACAGGGGAACCATCAGTTAAACAAATAATGGTGGTAACATGTGCATTGCATCTTTTTTCAAGGGCCAAGCTCAAAAGATGCGTTCTCCAGTATCCCTGGATATTAAATGGTGCCTTTATTATCTCTCCTTTTCCTTGCCCCCACAGCCCTGATGGCCCTGCACCTGGTGACTCAGAAAGCAGAACAGGGATGGCTTCTCCAAAGAAAGACTCCTTCAGAGGCCATCTGGGAATTTTCTCAGGACTTTTCCTATGGGGAAAGTAAAGCCATATCCAGCTGCCAAACTCAGCTTCTGTATTGTATCCAACCACTCCCCGTTTCTCCCTACCTCTATCCCCCAGGAAAAAGCACATAGGATAGTCTCAATGTGCAGACATCTGTCCCCTGGTAAAATGCACCGCGTCTGTCTACCTAACGTAGAATCACAGAGTTGGAAAGGACGTCAGAGGTCGTTCAGTCCAATCAATACTTGAATAGGAATTGCTGCCACAATGAGTACAATCTTTATTTGAAGACCTTCCCAATGAGGTGAACTTGCTATTTTCTGAGGAAGCCTGCTTCATTTGGGACTACTCTTATTGTTCAAAAGTTTTACTTTGTGTGAAGCTGAAACTTGTCTCTTTGCTACCCTCTTTCCCTCTCCTGTAGCTGCTAGTTATGCCCTCCGGAGTCATAGTTTGTCCTATCTTTTTCAGCTCAACTTCTTACCTGGCAAAGTCTCTCAAGGTGAGTAGATGACACCTTCCAGGATAGATGAAGGAAATAGCCAATTGTGGTAGCGTCCAAGAAGAGGTCTTGGACCTGCTCGTTTGGCACTGGGGTCATAGGCTAAAGTCAAGCACACCACCATTGAACCATGTAGCCAAGTGGACTCTCATGAGTTAATGCCCAACACACAGAGATCAGAGTCTAGGCAGGAAGGAGATATGGAAAAGAGGTCTTAATGGTCAGTATAGGCTTCTTGACACAGGCAAGAGTTGCCCTCTAAACTCTAGGGTTATGTGATTTTGTGAAAGCTAGAGGAAAAAGCCAGGAGGGGAGATTGCATGAGAGAGTCTCATGGCTGCTACATGGCAAGGACAGGGCAAAATCTCATTCAGGGAAGGAGGAGGATCTTACATCCCCAGCTTAAAAGCTCTCCTGCTTCCTGTAAGTAACAAGTAGTAACATAGGATTGAGGATCTGGGATGATGGCTATCCTGTCCCCATTTCTAAATGTATAATGCCTTAATGCTATCCTATGGATGCTCTGGCCCTGCCATCACTGTGATTCCCCATGTTTGTATGGGGAACAATGTATACAAAGGCACCAACTGAGAATATATATGGCATGTCATGGATAGGGTAGGATTGTATCGTATATGAGGAGGTGTAAGGTAAACTAAGTCTGGAAAGAGAGGTTGGATTGTAATGGGCTTTATTGCCAAAGAGAAGTGTTTATATTTTATCTTAGATGCACCCTTCAAAATATATCTCTTCTTTGACTCATTCTTTCAGGGTCCTGTTCTTTGTTAGTGATAATCTAATAAACTAATTCAAACCATGGCATTAATGGGTGTGATAGGATAACTTTTACATTTTAAAAGGGGGTTTCAGTCCTGAATGAGGAGAATTCTAGACACTGTGCCAGGCTGGCAATGGAGGTAATTTAGGGCAAGGCAAGCCTTTCCATGTTTATTGTAAGGCTAGTCATATAGGAGAGGTTGATTAGATGTTTACCTGTGGAATGAAGATGCCATAAGATCTAGGGAAACATAGTAAAGACTTATTCCCTTCGCCAAGTATCAAAATTAGGGCAATACCAACATATTCAAAGGCAGACGTGTTAAGATGAGTTAAAAGCTTTGCCAATTTGCCCAAATGGGAGTAGCCAGAGCTGTGAGTAGTGGAAAGAATACTGGCCTGGGAATCAGAAGACTTAGGAACTATACTTGGCATTGACATTAACAAGCCACATGACCTGGAAAAGTCACTTCTACTCAATAGACCTCAGTTTTTTTTTTTTTGTCAAGTGAAGAGTTTTGAGGATGGTGCTTCCCCTTCTTATATGGCATTTTATTTGCTGAAGCCTGGGTAGGTAGGTGGCACAGAAGATAGAGCATCAGGCCTGGAATCAGGAAGACCTGAATTCAAATTTGGCCTCAGACACTTAGTAGTTGTGACTCTGGGTAAGTCATCTAACCCTGTTTGCCTCAGCTTCCTCATCTATAAAATGAGCTGGGGAAGGAAATGGCAAACCACTCTAGTATCCTTGCCAAGAAAACCCTAAATGGGGTCATGAGGAGTCAGACACAACTGAAATGACTGAACAACAAATTTGCTGAAGGGGACAGAAAAAGAACGTTGTCATGAGAAACACAGAGAAAAGCAACTTGAAAAGAAATAAAGACAATTCTGAGTACCTGACAGCAAGCCTCTCAGATAAAAATGCTGAGAGAACTTGAGAGAAAGCTGCACCTTTCAGAGATAAAAGTATTGACTGATGGCTGCAGTGTACTGTTTCCCAGAAGCTAATTGGAATGTGGCTGTTTTCAGGACATTAGAGTTTATTGCTTGGAAACCGCATCAAAGAGCCGTTTTGGGACTATGGGGCTATTGTATAATAACTATTTGTGTCATATCTGACAGAAATGTGGATTTGGGTTGATCAACTTAAATTAGAAATGGGTCACTACACATAAGGAAGATCTGATTTCAGTCAGGGGAGATAGTGAGAAGTTATACATCAGAAGGTTAAGAGTCATTAACCAAAGAAGCCAAGATGTCAGAAGCTGAAAGCCAGAGCACAGAGCTTCAGAGCTGAGAAGCTAAGGGGATGACACAAACTGAGATCAGCTGACTCCAGACAAGTTATTCAGTTGATGAAGGAACTAATCTGATTACAGCAGGACTCTGCTGGTTTGAAAGAGCAGATGGAAGGAAAGGAGAATTCTGTGCTGTGGATGAAGAACAGGCTGAGGGAAAGCCTGTCCTACTCTCCTGTATTGTCTACTGCTTAGGAGAGAAGAACCCATCAAAGGCTTAGCTATATTACCTGTTATTGTTCTCTCCCGATCAAGAGGGGAAAATTCCTCAAAATCTAAAGAGAGCAAAATTTAAACAACTTTGAAGATCCCAAGATTATAGAGAATTGCTTTTCACTAAATGGATGTCATACTGTTTCAATGCTTAGCCAAGGGAGCAGATCTGAGACTTAAGGCTGCTGTTAGATAAAAGAGATTGACATTGGCCCAAGGGTTAACATTAGTCCAAGAATAGCAGAGAAAAAGCTTTGTCCAGTAGGAAAGGCTCAGAAGAGGAACAATTTTACTCATTAAGTGCTGTGTGTGTGGTGCAGACCATTCCCTAAAGAGGCCACAGACATCCAGGTTTGAAGTCCAGAATTGTGAGTTGGCCCAGATACTTGAGTTTCCCTACTCAGGTTTAGACTCTCTTTCCTATGGACACTGTGTATTGGTGGGAGAATGTGACCCAAAGTTTATCAGTGGACTATTATGTTTTGATTATTCTTGCCTTTGCCTACTATTTAGCAAATGTTTCATGTTTAACAATTAATGATGTCATTGTAAATGATTTATGCAAATGTAAAACACACTGGTGGGGGCTTAGGAGCTATAGTTTTGAGCATAAGTACATGTTTTCTTGTTGAAAAAAAATTTTATTTTTTTTTCAATTAAAAACATTTATTTTCACTCCCTTTTACTTTTCCCCCACTTACAAGCAAAGCAAACAAGCAAAAAACAAAACAAACAAAAAACCCAAGACAAAACAAAACAAAAAAACTATGCCAAAACCCAAAACTGAAACCTCACAATGAATATGCGTGGTTAAATGATGAAATTTCCCTTATTGACCATTTACAAAAACCATGCCTCATTCTGAATTTAAAGTCTATCACCTCTCTGTCAGGAGGTGGATATCATGGTTCACCTCTAGTCCACTAGAATTGTGGTTTGTTATTAGAATTCTAACTCTTTTAAAATTGTCTTTCTTTATAAAAAGTTGTTGCCATTATATAGTATGTTCTCCTGGTTCTGGCCACTTCATTCTGCATCAGTTCTTTCAGGCCTTTCATTTTCTCTGAAACTTTCTATTTCATTATTTCTTGTGGTGAAATAATATTCTTGTAAATTCATATATCTTAATTTGTTCAGTCATTCCCCAATATATGAACGCCTTCTTGGTTTCTACAATTTTTCAACTACAGAAGGAACTGCTATAAGTATTTTGTATATATGGGTCCTTTTCTTCTTTCTTTGATCTCTTTGGGTTGTAGGCCTAGTAATGATACTGCTGGGTCAAAGGATATGCACATTTTAGTGACTTTGGGAACATAGTCCTAAATTGCTTTCCAAAATGGCTATTATTTCACATCTCCACTAAGAATGCATTGATATGTGTGTTTTCTCAGAGCCTCTCCAAGATTTGTTACTTTCATCTTTCTGGGGTCAATTTTGCCAGTCTGATGGGAATGAAGTAGAAATTCAGAATTGATTTAATTAATAGTGATTTGTAATATTTATTTTAAAAAGTTAGTTGATAGTTTGGATTTCTTTCTTTGAAATCTACCTACTATATATTACTATCAGCAGCAAGAGATAGAAAGAAAAATTCCACTTAAAATAGCTGTAGACAATATAAAATATTTGGGAGTTTACCAGCCAAGACAAATACAGGAACTATATGAACACAATTACAATTACAATGAACACTTTTCACACAAATAAAGTCAGATCTAAACAGCTAGAAAAATATCAATTGCTCATGAGTAGGCCAAACTAACATAATAAAGATAACAATTGTACCTAAATTAGTTTACTTAGTCAGTGTCAATTTTATAGAGCTAGAAAAATAATAATAAAATTAATCTAGAAGAAGAAAAAAAGGTCAAGAATATCAAGGGAATTAATAGAAAAAATGCAAAGGAAGGTGGCCTAGCCGTATTATATCTAAAGCTATATTATAAAGTAGAAATCATCAAAATGATTTGGTACTGGCTAAGAAATAGAGTAGTAGAGCAGTGGGGTAGGTTAGGTACACAGCACACAGTAGTCAATGACTATAGTAATCTACTGTTTGATAAACCCAAAACTCTCACTTCTGGGATAAGAACTCACTATTTGACAAAAACTGCTGGGAAAACTGGAAAAGAGTATGGCAGAAACTAGGCATAGACTAACATCTCACACCCTATACCAAGATAAGTTTGAAATGGGCATATGATTTAGACATAAGGAATGATACCATAAGCAAATTAGGAAAGCAAGGAACGGTTTACCTGTCAGATCTATGGAGGAGGGAAGAATTTATGATGAAACAAAAGATAGAGAACATTATGAAATGCAAAATGGATAATTTTGATTACATTAAATTAAAAGGGTTTTTTTGCACAAACAAAACCAATGCAACCAAGATCAGAAGAAAAGCAGAAAGCTGGGAAACAATTTTTACAACCAATGTTTCTGATAAAAGCCTCATTTCTTTTCTTTTCTTTTTTTTTTTAACTAGGCAGTGGGGTTAAGTGACTTGCCCAGGGTCACACAGCTAGTAAGTGTTATGTGTCTGAGGCCAGATTTGAACTCAGGTCCTCCTGAATCCAGGCCCAGTTCTCTATCCACTGTGCCACCTAGCTGCCCCACATTTCTAAAATATATAGATAACTAAGTCAAATTTATAAGAATACAAGTCATTCCCCAATTGACAAATGGTTAAAGGATATGAACAGGCAGTTTTTAGATGAAGAAATGAAAGCTATATATAATCATATGAAAAAATGCTCTAAATCACTATTGATTAGTGAAATGCAAATTAAAACAACTCTGAGGTAGCCCCTCACACATATAAGATTGGCTAATATGACAGAAAAGAAAAATGACAAATGTTGGAGAAGATGTGGGAAAATTGGAAAC